GACAACTGACATGGCTGGTGGTCAAATCCCAGAATGATGTGCTCACAACCTAGAGGGATCTCTGGGATGTTTCCTGAGAGCAGACAAACTGACCCCTGTGTTTACAATTAGACCCAGGAAAACACCTTTTGTCACTCCTCTGCCACTAGCTACAAGACTTTGAAAGCTGCCATTGCTCGTAGAGAGGTCTGACATCCTTTGGGTTACCTTCTGTGCTCAGTAGTTACTTGTTTTCAACAAGTTACAATCAGGAAAAGGGATGGCTTCACCGATCATCCAGTCTCAGCAGAGTAAACAGGGGAATGGATTTTTCCAAAACAGTCAATTGAAATGGCAGCGTTTAAGCTTCCCCCGATGTCGTTGGGTTGGAAGTTAGAGCAGATGGTCCTGAGTGCTCCTGTAGAGACCTCACTGTTTAAATATGCCTTTGCGCCTCGTTTCATCTCTTTTCCAATGGAATTTCCCTGCAGTCATTGCCAAGGGAATGACTCCGCCACAAAGGATCCTCTTTCCCCCGGAGAAGATTTGCATGGTCTGGCAGCAAAGACAGAGTGCTGGAGCAGGACTCTGCAATGCGGGCAACACGTGCTTCCTCAATGCTGTCCTGCAATGCCTGACATACACCCCGCCGCTGGCTAACTATCTGCTCTCCCGGGAGCACAGCCGGGCCTGTGAGTACTTCTAGGGACCTCTCCTTATAAATCTGTTAAGCAAATCCCAAGCATTCCCAGAACCTGAAATTTGATTGAGGAGAACAGCAGCCCTTTGTCAGCCCCATGAACTTGTGTTCTTTGTACACTCAGGAGCCCCCTGTCCTATCCAGCTGTCTTATTCTTCATGAAGGCACATCTTTCTAGCTCTGGCTCTCTCTTCCTGCAAGTTAAAACCTCAGTTTAGCATTCCTCTGAAGAACATTTCCTATGCGCTAAAATGTCCCGTGCTTGTTGAAACACTGGGAGGAGTGGCATATTGCACTGGAGTGGGAGTGGAAGAAGAGGAGGATTCCACCACTACGGATATTTGGCTAACCGGAGGACCTTCTCTCCCTCCCTCCTCAGGTCGCCAACAAGGCTTCTGCATGATGTGCATCATGGAAGCCCACGTTAACAAGGTCCTGCATTCCTCAGCCAGTGTCATCCTGCCTTTGCCTGTTCTCAGGGGTCTCAGATGTAGGTCATTTCAGGTTCTTTGACAGCTTTTCTTCCCTTCCTCTATGAGACAACTACTAACTTCCGGTTTCTTAGTCATAGGAGAACATTTTCAGCTTGGCAGGGAGGGAGATGCCCATGACTTCTTATGCTGTACTGTCAATGCCATGCAGAGAGCTTGTCTGAGTGCAAGCAACGAGTAAGCACAAGCAAGTTACCTTTACAAAGTTGTGAGCCCTTTGGACCCCTTGATGTGGTCTCATCAAGGAAAACCTACAGCCAGGGCTTTCAGGCAAAGCAAAACTCTCGGAGGAAGTAATGCTCTGTCTTACTACTTGTTTCCAGCTTGGACATATCTTCTCAATCTACTACCATTGTCCATCAAATATTTGGAGGCTTTCTGAGATCCAGAGGTATGTTTCTACAACTATTGCTCTCCTTGTCATTGCCTGTGCCCTTCTGTCTGCCCTTCTGTGCTCAACAGCTGCTCCTGGGACTAGCAGGACAGGTACAAGGAGCACAAAGCAGTACCATCATTCAACTCACCATTCCTCGGCATTTTGATTTTTCCTTCCAGTCACCTGCTTCAGCTGCAAAGCCGTTTCTGATTCCTATGAGGCCTTCCTGGATGTCCCTTTGGATATCAAAGTAAGAGGTTTTGCACTTGTGCTTCAAGACATCGCAAGGCTTTTAGAGTCAACACATTTGTCCTGAAAGCATATACTGGGAACACAAGAGGTCTTGGTCGTGGATGGGAAGGGGAATGGCTGTTGTCCTCCTGCAGAGGCCATGGCACTCGTCTCTCTGTAGGTGCTGGCTTTAAGCTGGACAAGCACCCATTATGCTCTCTGCACCCTTGACATATTCTCATCCTTCTTCCCTTTGCCCTCCTTCAACCCCTGTCTGGCTTCCAGGCTGATGGCTTGGATTGGTTTCACTACTGATGACCCTACATAGCATCAGTAGCTGAATGGGAGGCGGTACAGAGAGGGAGGTCTTGATTGCCCCTGAGAACCTCTGGGACAGGGCAAATGTTCAGCACCACACTCTCTTTCTGGCTCCTTCTGGATACAGCTTGCAGATTCCTGGTGGGTCTCCTCAGCATCAACCACAGGGGTTTTCTTATCGGCTCCTGGAAAATGTTTGGGCGAGGGCATTGCCTGCAGCTCAGTGCACTCATTTCTCAATTCTCCAGGCAGCCTCATCCCTCACTGCAGCTCTGGAGGACTTTGTAACACCTGAGCACCTGGATGGTGAAAACTGCTTTAAATGCAGCAAGTAAGATGATTACTTAGAACATACTAACACTAGACTCTGTGTGAGGGGACTACAAGTAATCGAGCAGAAGTCGTCTTCTCATGGAAGTTTACTGCACACTAATGAGACACAGTTTTGTTTGTCTGTTTTTTGGGGGGGGGTTGTTTTTTTGTTTGTTTGTTTGTTTGTTAGTTTGGTTTTTTGGTTTTTTTGTGGTTTTTTTTTTTTAATATGGCACTGAATGGCCTTAAAATAGCATAAGGATGCGCGAGATAAGAAAGGTTGTCTGGCTGCCTTGGTGGAAGATGGGGTGCATTTCAGCAGTGTGCTCTGTGCTTGGTTTCAAGGTGTGAGAAGAATGTTGCCGCCGCCAAGAGGTTCACTGTCCACTGTGCACCCAAGGTTCTCACAGTGCGTCTGAAAAGGTTTGACTGCTTCACCGGTAGAAGGATCAGCAAGGTGTGTACACTATTGGTGTGCAGCTTTCTCTTCAAGAGGCAGATTTCCTAAAGCAGTATGCTTGTCACAAGCTGCTTGTGTTGAGTTTTTGGTGGTCCCTTCTGGGGAGTGGAAAGTTCCTGTGGGAAGACAGGCAAGCAGTCTGCTCTGATAGGGCTGCTTTGACTGAGAACGGTTTCCTGCCACCCAAACCGTTACATGTCACTTTATGGAAAACCAAGTGTTCAGGACCCCCAGAGATGTATTGATACACCTGGACTGGCCCCTGTACTTGGGAGGCTATTTCATGTCCCAGACCAGGATCATTTCTGAGCCCTCTCGGTCTCTCCATAGGTTGTAGAGTATCCGGAGGACTTGGATCTTCGCCCATACATGTCTCAGGCGGATGGAGAACCACTC